ATATAATATAATAAAATATATATAATATAAATATAATATCAATATAATCTTGCGCGAATTGCGCAGGGGACAGGGCATCAAAGCTGCGAAAACGTCGTATAGTACTCTATATTATTATACATATATAACATATAACATAAATATAAGTATATATAATATCGTATAAATATATATATATATAAAATATACATATAATCTTGCTCGATGATTACTCAAATTGTGCAGGGAGCAGGGCATCGAGGTGTGAAACCGTCGCGTAGCACTCTATCTCAGAGGACGCACTCTGATTACTAGAAGACACGCATAGCTTCACCCCACCTCCCCCCCGCCAGCTGGGAATTCCATGCTCTAATATAATCTTGCTCGATAATGCATTATTGTGTAGCATAATTTCTTAATAATTTTCTACCTCTTATAAATTGCTGTGTTTTTTTTTTTCCGTCTGCGCAGCACCTTCAGGAGGCGATGTGCCGGTGCACGGGCGTGCTGAGTGCGTCGAGTAAGCCCTACACATGGCCGTGCTGGTGTGCACGAGCGTCGCACGATGCTACGCCGTCGCGCGCAGTTTGAGTCGTGTCGAGAGATGATCGTCGAGCGGGCCGCCCATCATCAAAGGAGCTGTGTCGCACGCTCTACTTCAAGGTAGGTAGCATCTACATCAAGGTAGGTTATTTTTCGCTTTCCTTGTAGTTGCAAGTGAATTCTTTGCTTCTCATTTACACACTACTCCCAGTATCTGCCCACGTGGAGTGGGTATCGGTTACTTACTCGATACCAGGGGGAGGAAGCGTCTGGAAAATAAATAATAAAATAATAATAAATAATAATTAATAAATGAAATAATAATAATAATAATAAATAAAATAATAAATCGCTCACCCACCGTGTCGTCCCTCCTGGTGCCTCACCTGCCTCCTACGCGTTCGAAACTCGTGGATAACGGTTACTAGAACAGGAAGGTCGGCGGATAACAGCTACGTTCCGTTGTTTCTCGCTTGCAGCACCTGACACGGCTGTGCACGGTGTCGACGGAGTGCGTGAGCGCGTTCGCCGTCGACTACTACCTGCAGACGTGATGCGCGTACAGTGTTCCAAGCCGGCGTGCTCTACCACCTGCTGCTCTTCCTCTTTCACTACGACTACACGCTCGAGGAGGGAGGCGTGTGCAAGAGCGACGACACCAACCAGCAGGTGGGCAGCAGATGCGGGACGACGCAGGTTTACGCTTATGTTACGCAGCAGGGAGGAAGCGAGCACAGGGGGTTCTGACGGGGGAATTTAAATGAATATAAATAAAATGTAATTAATATAATTAGTATATTAATTTATATGAATAAAATTTAATTAATTAAATTAATGTAATAAGTTAAATAATTAATCATATTAATGTTACCTGGCTCCCCCTACAGGCGGTGGCCAACAACCTCGCAAAGCTTAGCATCGGCGCGCTCAGCCGTCTTGGTGGTTACCATAGCGACGGCAGCGAGGCGCTGCTGCCGGAGAACAAGACCGTCCAGGGGGCGCTGGAGTCTATTCTGACGCCGTTCCTCGCGAGGCAGCTCGGCGACGACAAGACCCAGGAGGTTTATTTATTTATTTATTTATTTAAAGACGGTACATTGGTAAAAGAAACATGAGCTTGCAAGCTCCTCACCGTCAGTGTGATAAAAAACAGTTCTTAATAAAAAGTGGTAGCTTAGCAAATGACAAGTGATGACATCAGGGCAGCTAGAGGTAGCAGGAGGTAGAGCGCCCATGCTTGTACTCGACGGCTGTAAGTCGCACGTGGCGAGTCTACGTCCGTCCGTCTGATAGGTCGCGATGTCGAGGGGGTCTTGAGAGCATTTGTGAATCTAGATTTTCGTGCATTTGTTGTGTCTGCATCAATCCCAATGATTTAATTTCCTACAAAATACATCAATCTGTGTCAGGTTGCGTGCTGCATGTGGTAGAACAGTGAAATAGAAAAAAATCCAATTTTCACATCGGATTAATTCTGCTAACAAAACCAAGCCGTGTATAAAGTTGCATGTTGCATGTGGTAGAACAGTAAAATAAAACAAAACGCGTCGCCGTGTGTTCGTGTGCGTGCAGGTGCTGAAGATACTGAACAGCAACACGGAGAACCCGTACCTGATTTGGAACAACGCGACGCGGGCCGAGCTGACAGAGTACCTAGATACGAACCAGCGAGATAAGATACGCACGGTGAGCACGGCAATACGTATATATATATAAACATGTATCTATACAGCGAGATAAGATACGCACGGTGAGCACGGCAATACGTATATATATATAGCGATATAAGATACGAGATAAGATTCGCATGGTGAGCGAAGATATACATGCTGTGATAGGTCAACCGTTAATAGTGTAACACTATAATATTACCAGGATTGTATAATATAGAGATGAGTATGACTCGCTCAAAACACAAGAAATTCAACATTTTCATGCCCTAGTTTACCTATGATGCATTACCTGAAACTTGGTAAAAATGACATCAGAAGTATATTACTATTATAATAT